AGCCACCAAATCTCCCTGGTAAAGCTAAAGAGATGTTTGCCATGCAGACAGGACACAAGGCCTGTCTCGGAGGTACCTGTGAGATCAAGATCGATTTATTGATTTATTTTATTTTCTGCAGTGCCCTGGCACAGAGGCATTCAGTGTTCCTGCACGTTCCTGTGTCCCTCTGGCAGCTCAACCACTTGGAGTCAAGGGGAACACAGGAAATCTCCCTGGTAAAGCTAAAGAGATGTTTGCCATGCAGACAGGACACAAGGCCTGTCTCGGAGGTACCTGTGAGATCAAGATCGATTTATTGATTTATTTTATTTTCTGCAGTGCCCTGGCACAGAGGCATTCAGTGTTCCTGCACGTTCCTGTGTCCCTCTGGCAGCTCAACCACTTGGAGTCAAGGGGAACACAGGAGCACTGGGAAATACCCACCTTGTGAAGAGCACCTGGTTGTGGTTTAGCCCCAGGTGGCACCTAAGCACCACGCAGCCGCTCACTCACTCCTCCCCTCCACGGTGAGATGGAGAGGAGAAAATACAAAAGGGTCAAGACAAGAACAGGGAGGGATCACCCACCAACCATGGCCCTGGGCAAACCAGCCTGGAGACAAATCAATTTAATTCCTTAACGGTTACTTCAGAGAGGACATGAGAAACAAAATCAGATCTTAAAAACACCTTCTCCCAACCCCTCCCTTCTGCCCAGCTCTACCTCCTCCCCCAGTGGCCCACGGGGAGCGGGAATGGGGGCTGCAGGTCAGTTTGTCACCCATTGATTCTGCCGTTCCTTCCTTAACGGTGAGGAATCCTCACGCTCCAGACTGCTCCAGCAGGGGCTCCCTTCTCGCGGGAGACAGTTCTCCACAAACTCCTCCGATGTGAGTCCTTCCCATGGGTTGGGAAGTTCTTCAGCAACAGACTGCTCCAGCAGGGGCTCCCTTCTCGCGGGAGACAGTTCTCCACAAACTCCTCCGATGTGAGTCCTTCCCATGGGTTGGGAAGTTCTTCAGCAACAGACTGCTCCAGCAGGGGCTCCCCACTGTCACGGGTTCTTCGGGTGCAGCCCAGCATGGACTGCTCCACTGTTTATCTCCACGGGCGGCAGGGGGGCCGCGGGAGCCCACGGGCTGCAGGGGAATCTCAGCTCCGGCACACCTCCTCCTGCTCCATCTTCACTGTCCTTGGTGTCAGCGTGGCCGTTTCTCTCAGGTCTCAGTCCTCTCTCCGCCGCAGCCATGCCAGGCCTGACCAGCCCAAAGGACCTCGGCAGTCCCGGCAGGATGAACTCTGTCCAGCCCTGGGAACGGGGCGCTTCGGAGCTCTCCAAGCTGCTGCTGCCCCTGAGGGCATGGAGAGTAGGGGGTGGCCCCGCGCAGACAGCTGCCCACACCTTCCCCCTCTCTCTTCGCTGCAGGTCTCACATGGTGCAAGTTCCTTTGTCCCTTCTTAAAATGACTTATTCCCAGAGGCACCGGCTGGCTCAGCCCTGGCCAGAGGCAGGTCTGACTTGGAGCTGGGGAAGCTTCTAGCAGCTTCTCACAGGAGCCACCCCTGTAGCCCCTCCCCACCAAGCCCCAAAACCCGTCACACAAACCCAACACGCACTTGAAGCCTGCATGGCAATTTTGAGGATTCTCTTCCAGCTCACTCCGTGTGCCAGGCTCCGGGGTTTGGACCAGCTGGGACAGAGACCAGTGGACTCCGGTCACTCCTGCGCGGGGTTCCAACCACTCTTCCCAGGACACAGAGCTTCATAAATACGGACATTTTAATGAGGGGCAGAATCCAGCTCTGAAATCGCCAGTCACAGCGAGACACACCACAGCCGGACAGGCAGGACGTATTTTATAGCACTATCACATCCGCCTCCAGCATTTTTACTTTTGCCCCGAGCCCTCTTGGAACTGACTCCACCTGATATTACCTGCCTCTCGCTACGGCTCGGCGTAAGTCAAAGAAATAAATTACTCAATTACTGGAAAATCCAGTAAGGCTGAATGCGGAATGAGTCTCAAAGCACAGAGCAAGCACCGGCGGCATCGGCATTTTGGTTCCTCGGTCTCTTTCCTCGCTCTGCCTTCGGCAGCGCGCGGGCACCGCGTGCCCTTGCACGGGGACTCCGTGCAGCGGGTCGCGCATGGTCACCTCTGTCACTTGGTCAGGCCCTGGAAGTTGGGCTCCGTACACGGGGGCAGTGCTGCCTGCCGGCTCAGCAGCTTGTCCAGGATGTCCATTTCAGCATCTCGTCTCTCAATGTCCTCAAACGGAGTCCAGGACATGTCGTGCTGGAGCTTATAGGCACCGAGAAACTCATGGGGACTGGTCCCCCACTCCTGAAGGAGAAAAGGAGAGATTCACGCCGCTGCTCGGCTTCCCTTGGAGCTGGGCTGTGCTGCTCCTCAGCCCACCTCTGCTCATGTTGGATGGCCTGTCCCATTTTCTAACTTGAAAATAGGCTCAACCACCCCATCAACCCACACTCGACCGACGCAGGGAGGCTTGGGGACACAGGATCTCCCTGACCTGCCAGAGCTCCTCCACGTGCTCAGTGCTTTGCTCTGAAGCTTCACCCTGTGTGTAAGAAAATGGGTGGCCTGGAAGGAGGACACCCCCGAGACCACCCCTATCAAGCTGCAGACAAACTCACTCCCTCGACTGAAGCACCTGAGAAGACCATACTGCCAGACAGCCACGTCAGGCAGGGAAGGCCCGGGGCATGTCTGCAGTTCTTTACTTCCAGAGAAAGTAGGGGACTGAAAAGCAGAATTCAGGTCCAGGCACCAAAGGTCTTCTTGCCCACCATCCACCAAGATCCAAGAGAACTTTATAATGTGGCTCTTACACCAGCAGCGTAACTCAGACCAAGGAAAACACCAACTGAGCAGAGGGCAACAAATGCCCCCACCAAGCTGGTGCTTTTGTCTGAGGTCCAGAAGTGCCCAAGCACCAGAAACGTGGCTTTTTCCTCTCCCTGCTTCCTCAGGGGCTGTCACCACCCACCTTAGGAGACAGGATGGAGAAGTATCGTTGGCCACTCTCCCGCCTGTACATGTAGTAAACGTTTCCTGGCTTCTTCACAAGGTTGCAGGCCACGTGGTGCAGATCAGCATCTCTGTTAGCTTCATCCAAGACCTGAAAATCAAATTTAACATTTCCAGACTTGAAATGGCCGCACACTGTTGCCCCTCAGCCAGAGTCCAAGATACATCACTTGACACACCGCTCGCCAGGACTCGTCCTCCCCAGCGCACGTCTGGCTTCATGCGGCATGTTTTCACTTGGCCCAGGAAGGAGGTACCTTTTCAATGAGATAGTTTTCTCCAAGTTTCCCCTGCCAGCTGGACCTCAGAGCTCCTGCACCCCTCTGTGGAGGTGGAGATACCTCCAAGCATCAAGGACTTCTTCACCACAGCCCCAGATTCACCCCTGTGCCTGACCCTACCACATGCTGGAGTCGTTCCTCATCTCCACACACAGCTGCTGGACCCTGGGGGCTTCCCTGCTGCTGTCGCCAAGGGAAGGGAGCGCAAACAAAGAGGAATTCATCTCCCCAGCTCCGCCAGCTGACTGCTCCACAGCTCTGGCTCCACCAGTTAACAATTACATGACGTGGTGGCCTTGATGGCAGTGGGCCAGTCGCAGCGACTGGCAGATCCTTTCCCACGCGGGCTCCCAGATTTCACCCCCAAGGGTGAAAGATGCCTGAACTGAAGAGGACAGCCGAGCCCCATTGGGCTCGCTGCCGGAGCCACCTGCTCCAGCAGACGAGCTGGGATAAACTGGGAAGCCAAGCCCATCCTCAGCTCATCTTCTCCCAGAGGCTCAGATCCAGCCAGAGCCACGTCGTCACCTTGCTGCACCAAGTCCTCCGGGAGCACAATGCACGTGCTACAGTGACAGGAGTCATCTGTCCCGAAATCGGAGTCACCTCTCTGTCCTTGCTGACACCCGAGCTGCTTTTGCCTGGCCATCTTCACTCCTCCACCTTAACAGAAGTCCTCCCTGATGTGCAGAGTACTCAGGGAAAGCACTGGAAACATCCCCCGCCCCGTCCCCAGCTGATACCAGACAATAAACCCTCGTTATTTTCCCACTGAATCTTCTCCACTTGGCTCCTGGCCACGATTCATACCCAGGCCACAGCTCTTCCCAAACGCCTGGCAGTCAGACAGCCGCGGATCTCCCCCCCCTCACACGCACCAGGCAACGAGCCCCCTGCCCAGCACGCGGAGGCGTCCTCACCTTCCGAGCCTGCTCCTGCAAGGACCGGATCTGCTCGGCGATGATGGTCAGCTTATTGCAGGCGTTCGCTCGGACGAAGTCGTCCGCCTGCCAGGAAGGAGCTTTGGTCAGGACAGGGAAGAGCTGCAGCCTGGCGGCCCTTGCCGCGCTGGAGAAACGGCATCATGGCCTCAGTCAAGACATTAATGGGGCTGTGGGTGGTGCCAGAGCGGCCCCCAGTGCAGATGGGGGGTGGCCACAGCACCCTCAGACGGTGAGGGGACAGCCACGGAGCAAGGGACCGGGCACTGGGAGCTGCCTGGACGTGCTGGATGGCAGTAGGACATACTGGGAGGCACTGGGGTGGACTGAGATGCAGTGGGATGCACTGAGAGGAGGCAGTAGGACTTACAGGGAAGTATTTAGGTGGACTGAGAAGCTCTGGCGGACCTACTGGACTAGGACGTGGTCCTGGAAGGCAGCAGGATGTACTGGTAGGCATTGGGGGGATAGTAGAACACATTCGGAGCAGTGGGGTGGGCTGAGAGGCACTGGGATGGACTGGAAGGCACCAGGAGAGGCAGCAGGACACACGGGGAGGAAGTGAGGTGGCCTTAAGAAGCACTGCAATGGACTGGGAGGCACTGAAGAGGGAACAGGATCTGTCAGGAGGTGCTGGAATGGACTGGGAGAGAGCAATAGGATGCACCAGCACACACTGGAGGGGACTAAAGCCATACTGGGAGGCAGCAGGGCACACTGGGATGGACTGGAAGCTTAGAGGACTATTCTGGGAGTCACTGGGGGGCAGCAGGACACAGCAAGAGGCACTGAGGTGCGACAGGAGGTACTGGAGGCACAGCGTGGCCCACCGGGGAAACACGGGAAGGCACCGGAGGGAGAGGACTATTCTGGGAGTCACTGGGGGGCAGCAGGACACAGCAAGAGGCACTGAGGTGCGACAGGAGGTACTGGAGGCACAGCGTGGCCCACCGGGGAAACACGGGAAGGCACCGGAGGG